ACAGACAATTCCTTTCTTTTCTTTCTTTCTTCTTCCTTATCTTTTCTTTTCTGGTCCAGTTCCTCTAAGAGCTTAGCGATATAACTATCAAGAGCAATATGCCCTTGCCTTATGAGATCTTCGACCCTTCTGTCGGTTTCCATCATCTGAACAACAGTTTCAGCGGCATCAAGTTCTCCCTCTGCAGCTTGCAGGTTGAACTGTCTGTGAACATGTTGTTCAGCGTCCCGACCAGCACCATGTATCTCACCAAACAACTAACGAAGAAGGCCCTTCAGAGTTCGCCTTCTCGCGTCAATCTGACCACGCGTCCTAAGTTCCCCCCATTCGGCATCAGCATAGACCATGAGAGGGATAGGGAAGAAGAGAAGTGGAATGAACCGCGTCAGGATGGAGGCACGCAAACATTTCCAGAGAGAGTTCACTTTGCTCAATTGTATTTACTGCACAATAAATAAAAATTAAAAGAAAAAAATAAATTTCACAGTACACGCGTCTTCTACAACAACTTACAGCAAGAAATTGTCAGAAGAAACAAATTTTAAAGTCTTTCCTGAGTTCTAACTTTGCTGTCTATTCTTTGTGATGACACTCTACAACTACAGGTACCGCGGCCACGACCATTGTGATCAAGACAACAACACAAGAGTAAGTATGCACAACATCCACAGACAACCATCAGGTGAGTAGAGCCAACACATAACACAATCAATGGTTAGTTCTCTTCTCAATCATCTGCAGCAGCAATACAACTCAAGTGCACATTTACACTTTAAACAGTCCTGACGCATGCCACGTGTCACCCCTGCCCTGCCAACACAGCAACTCAAAGAGTCTGCCACATCAGCAAATCAAGGATCGGATAGGTCTACAAGGAGGGATGCCACGTCACAATGCAGGTCTGCCTTCCACCAATATACCAAGTCAGCACATCAATAGCAAGCAGTAACAGGTACGTGCCGCGTCAGACCATGCCCTGCATGCCACATAACAATGTGTCACATCAGCGGTACCAGTGCCACGTCAGTCTGTTGCCAATGCAACTATTCAATCTTCAGCGTAGCCTTGTCATCATCTTCAAGGGACGACTGCTCGCAAGTGCACTATTACCATGTCTAGACTTGCGGTGTGACCGCGCGCGTTAATAAACGCGTTTCATATTGCACATGCGGCACCTCCCACGTACCTGGGTGCCACGTTAGCACCGGACAGCTGGCAGCAGATCGCGATGAAGAGTTGCTCCGATACCAAATTGTAATGAACCCAGTCTAGTAGGTACTCAGAAGTCGTCAATTACAAGTTGTCTCAGTATCTGCATTAGAGACTCCAAATCATGAAATGATAAATCAAACAATAACTCATTACCATCTGACGAAGAGAGTGGAGGGGGATCAGATAGAAGAGAAGGTGGAAAATATCACAAAAGAATAACTCGTCAAACCCCTCTCCTTCTCCGGGCTTCTTCCCTCTCCACCTCAACAACCAGAAGATGATAGCAAGTATAGTAGTCCTGATCACACACAATAGTGCCACATGGTACTTTATCTCATGAAGACCTGAAGTCACAATAGATTTTCCAGCGACGACGTCAACTAGAGGTGAGTACCCGATCCCTACATCCACAGATCCCGATCTTCCTCTTCCCTCGCAACCAGTCACCTCATGTAGACAGCATGGACAATGCCGCGTCAACAATCAAGACAGGTGGCAAACGCCACATCATCAATGAAGACCAATAGCAGTGCCACGTAGACCAGGAGCAGCGCCACATATACCAGAGGCAGACCCCCGTCAGCATGCCATGAAGACCAGAGGCAGCGCCATGTCAACATTCCATGAAGTCCAGAGGCAGCGCCACATCAGCATGCCTGGTGTACAATGCCAGTGTGCTGCTTCCTCCTCGTGTCGTCGTCCGCAGCGCTGATGCACAGTCAGCGTCTAGCCAGCGTCGTGCTAGCATAATGCCAGCGTCTAGTCAAAGTCAAGCCAGCGTCAAACCAGCATAGCAAGACTGAATGTTGGACTTGCTCGAGGCCAGTCTTGTGTAGCAGTCGTCGAGGCTGTCTGGCCTCGGGTGCCTTTCCTTCAGTCCGAGTCGTCCAGATTGACTCACATCTCAAGGCCTGGATTGTACAGTTGCAGACTTCTCCCTTGGACCTGATGCTGTCTGGGTACCTGCATACAAACAAATGTGTGTGCTTGACCTGCGGCCTGGGCTAGGTACCCTTGAACTTTGACTTTTGGGTGGACCGAAAGTTGACTGAAGTCAACTGTCACACGCCCAGGCCGTGAAATCGTGAAGGGCCTTTTCTGCCCTTATTTGGCCTAGGTTGAGGGCGGCCAAGTAGGCCTTCTGATGGCCCTCAGTTCCATGAGACATATCGCATGGGTTATTGCACCTGGTCCTAGGTTTGCCCTTTTTTTTCGGCATGATTTCTTGCCAGATCCGTAGGAGAGCTGCGCAATAGGGTGTGGGTGGGTTTGCTCCCTGAGGATTGCCCCCTCGTCGATGGTTTATGCGTCATGTTTTCAAGGTTCATTCCTTACTCATCACCCAGAACAAGCCAGACATGTTTGCTGGTGTAGGTACCGGGGATAGGCTTCTGATTCTATAAAGTGCTAACTTGTTCCAAGTTGTGCCCGGTTTGGTGAGGAGTTTGATGATCCATTTGATTTGGAGTGCCTTAGTTTCCCGCCTCACGTCGCCACACAACATTTCTCCCTCTCGTCGCACTGGAGTCCCTTCGAAATTCGGAGAGCCCGAATGTAGCTGTGCCAGGAGCCGACCAGGTACATCACGATTGTTCTGTTGTAGTGGAACGAGGCCCTTCGATCGATTTGCTTGCTTGGACAGACGGACGTATCGTCTCATGCAACATAATGGGCCTCGCTCCACTACTCTCGACTACTCTCGAAATGTGCAAAACGAGAGCGAATCGTCCGCTAGAACATGGAAAGATACAGAGCCATGATTTTTTTTTTTTTTTGGAGTAATCTAAATATTCTTCTCTCAATCTTCGTTTTTTTTTTGCATATACTGGGTCTCTCTCCACAAAACTTTTAGACTCTCGAAGTTTCGAGAGTAACGCCTCGCTCCACTTACTCTGGAGTTTAACTCGTGAAAACACCCTTCGAGAGCTGTCAGAAGGCGCTCTCGAAGGGCACTCTAGAGTAGTATAGAGTTCACAGCCTGCGACACTCACGATTTCCAGCGTCCTCCCTCCTGCCGCCACTCCGGCCTCTTTTTTCGTGAGGGCCTCGTTCCACTACTCGCCATCCGCCACAAACAGTGGCGAAACTTGGCGAGGCCGAAAAGTGCATTTTCCTGGTGGAAAACGACTCTTGGTTCCATTACATCGCCGCCGCCATGTGCGCTGTGGTTGCTGTCCCGGCCTGCTCCCCGGACTGTGGCGGATGGCGAGCTAATGGAACGGTGGTGGCCTTCTCTTCACGATGTACACGGACTGGAAATCACTCCCGGTGCAGCGAAAACTCGCCAACACTAGGGGACAACGCAGGTCGACTGTCAGGACCGCTGTGTCAGGGGCCATGGCCACACAAAGCATTTTGCGGAGGGGTGAGGAGTAGCACCTCCACGAAGGGCCGTTGCAGGCAGGGGAAATGGAAAGCCTTGGCGACACATCGCCAAGTGATTCCGGACCCAAATTCTGACAGCGTCCATTTCGTGGTTATTGGCGATGCAGTGGAACGAAGTCACATCCGCCATGCCTGGCGGATGCCTGGCGGATGGCGAGTAGTGGAACCAGGCCCTGAGTGTCCCTCCTGCTGCGACCGTCAGAGAGAGCTGGCGCTGTCGTGTAGCGTTGTAGAAGCGCTCACGAAAATCGTGAGTACTCACGCTCGGCTTGGGACCCGCTGTGAGTGGGACAGCGGACGAAACAGCCTTGCGGGGGCGCCGTTAGGGGCACGCACAAGATGACAGAGTATCCCTCGCCGGAATGTATCCACCGCTAGAAAGTGGCCATATGCAGTCATTTTTTTTTATTTGTTTTTTGCGTTTCGAAAGTGGAACCCGCTGGGGAGGTCCGGTACTCGTGCAGTCCAGTTTCGAGAGTGACAGGTGTCGCTTACTCTAGAAACGGTGTCAGAATTTCGTGAGTGCTTCTAGAGTTCTTCAGTCTAGAGTAAGTGGAGCCACGCCTCTTTTTTCACGAGTTCTAGACCTCTGACAGCTCTAGAAGTACTCACGAAATTTTTCGTGAGTCGAGAGTAGCGGAGCGAGGCCCATTCTCATCCTCTTGCTACTCACGTATAGCACGGGGGAACACCAACCAAGCCTGGAACTCTCCCCAGCCCACGGGGTAGGTTTGCACCACAGCAGTGGTGCGAGATCAAGGCTTGTATCAGCCCCTCATCACGATGATGCAGGGTGATAGGCATTGCCGACGGGGGAAACCGGCTATGCTAGTACAGAGCATCTTTGGCCAGTCACTTGCACCTCCCCCTACCCCCCCCCAACCCCACATGGTTGTCTTTTGTGCGTGCCGAGAGTACTGGAGCGAGGCCCAATGTCATGCATAGTGCATACATACATTCACGTTCCAATGACATATGTTTACGTACGTTCACAGCCACCGGTACTTGCACAACCCATCATGAGAAGGTGCGTTCGCTAGCTGTTGTCGAAAGCAAGCCTAGCAGAACAACGCTGATCGTCATCGTATGGTGACTTCCGCATCATTCATGTAGGTGGGCGCAAGGCACACAGGAACCCACACTCACAGCGGCCGCTGAACGAGCGATCGTGTGTGTGTGTGTGCGTGTGTGTGTGAGAGAGAGAGAGAGGCTGGCAAGTGGCAAGCACAAGTTTGTGAAATGACTGCGAGTTGATGTGCTGGAAAGTGTGTTTGGAGAGAGAGAGAGAGAGAGAGAGAGAGAGAGAGAGAGAGAGAGGTGCCGGCAAGTGGCAATCAGAAGTGGGTGATATAACTGCAGGTTGAGGTGCTGGCAAGTGGCGATCACGAGGCCATGAAATGATCGGGAGCTGAGGGAGGGAATTTCAGAGGTGGTGAAGGAGGTAGGGGGGAAGGGAACGTGTAGGTAGGTGTATACCCTGGGGCCCCCTTCCCCTCCAGCAGCCCCTCCCCCTCGAGATGATGAGCGTCAGTCTATCGGGAGGTGCGAGGGGATGGCTGGAGCATAGCTTCATCGCGATTTCTCCCACATGTCTGAGCAAGGGCGATGGTGTGAGAGTACGGAGCGGGTCGGGGAGAAGTCCTACCTGTAGCAGTACGATCAGCAAATCGTACGCGATCAGTAAATCGTACGTCGGTGATCCTGCGGTTGACGTTGCGAGTGGTCGCGCGTGCGAGTGCTGGGCAGGAGTCGCACCTACCGATCCACGGACCGGTCGCGCGTCTACAGGTGCAGCTGTGCAATTACGGTCGTCGGGGGTGGAAGCCAATGACAGACGAGGCAGCAGATATGGGGAAAGCAGAAGGAGAAGAACGACAGGAAGAGGACAACGAAGACGAAGCTCTGGATATGGCGGCAATGATATCTCGAGAAGAGTGGAATGGATGCACGCTTGTCTGGCTGGAGAAGGAGAAGGAGTAGCAGCAGCAGTAGGAGGAGGAGGAGGAGGAGGAAGTCGATGGAGTTTGCTGGCTATGGCGTCCTCCCGGAGAGTATTAGGTGCGGGGAAAAAGGAGGAAGGAAGGGAAGAGGGGGAGAGAGAAGAAGGCCAACCGCAATTCCTCCTCCGTTCTTCGCGAAAAGCGACTTGGCATAGTCGTAAGCCACACCCAGTTGACAGCTTCCGGAAGGTCGGGGTCCATGTAGCTGGTCGGTCGCTCAGCGGACGACCGGTAGGGTTGGCGAACGTACTGCAGGGAGCTCACACAGAGAGGTCCTCGCTGCTGTCATCTCTGTCATCTCAAGGAAACCGTCTACGATCTTCTCAGGTATATATGTGGGGAAAAGGCGGAAAAAGAAAGAAAAAAAAACGGAAAGAAAAAGAGAGAAACAAGAAAGAGAGTAAAAAAGAAAAGTTGTATGATCTGTACGGTCTACGTCGGTCGATCCTGATCCAACGGCCCACAGGATCTTTATCGCCTTCCCCC